AATTATAATGCTAAACACAGCATGGAAACATTTCAGGAGGCCTTGATTTTAAGATTTTTTTCATGGAACTGAGCCTCAATATTGTCCTTTAAGTAAATGTTTGGCATCCATCACGTTGTGTGATACTTGTCTTGTTCCCGTGAGCAATGAGAAAGAGCTTAGTAAGGTTGATAAGCGGTAAGGTGGATCTGATTGAACCAGATCTGTCCTTATGCCATAGTTTGAGGGAGATCTGCCTGGTGTCTTCCTGCCCACCCGCTGCCATGCAGCAGCACGGCAGGTCCTCTGCCTTCTGCAGGATTTGTCTCCTCCAACATCCTTGTCCCTCCACTTCCATATTTGTAGCATCCAACCCAGCAACACAGCAAATCATACTGCTGTTGCTAGCTAAATATCTGGAGCTAGTTTGTTCGTCATTGCATTTATGAATGCCTTTTTTAACCAAGCTTTTCCTTGCTGGTGCAGAATTGAAGCCCCAGCAAGTGGTCATAGGCATGACAGGCTGGGGAGCAGCCAGTTTGTGAGCATGGCAATTAAAACCAAGCAGCTCCGAAATAAGCAAAGAAGCAACTTTTGCGATGAAACAGGTGACCCCTTTCTCCAGCAAGAAGTGTCCTTGGAGTGAGGCACCACTGTTTCGTTGAGGAGCTATTTTGGCACAGACCTAAATAAAGAAGTAGGTGACATAGTGGTAAATGAAAGGCAGCATGGCTCTTCCCTGCAAAAGGAAAAAGAAAAAAATCAAATGGTATTTATAAAATAGAGGAAGGGAATGTAAAGACGTAATGATTCAGATGAGCTGCCAGGCTGGAGCATACATGATGATTTAGCACTGTCTGGCCATTGCCCAGGGACATCTGCCTGCACAGAACCTGTTGACGTGACAGAGGAAATTCTTTGTTCGTTGCTTGCCATCATCTCTTCTGAATGATTTAGCTCAGGCTGAAGAGTTTTATTGACCCCATGGAGACAGAAAACAAGCTTCAAGAATGCAATATTTGATTTCCTGGGCTGGGGGCAGGAGGGGAAGTGTTTATAACATTGTTCTCCTCCCAGCCTCCAGAGCTGTTTATTTTTAAATATTTTACTCTGGAGCCTCATGACTCAGGGAATAAGCTGTTTGTGGCAAGCTTTGATATGGAACTCTTCCAGCCCCTTTGTTGACAAATTTCCACTTAAGACCAGAAACATGGGGACAAGGCGATGGGGAAGTTACTGAAGATTTTGCCGCTTTTGAAACACCATTAATGGATCTCCCCTGGCAGCAGAACAAGAGCCTAGAAGCCTGATGCAGACAAGTCACTCCAGCTGGTATCCATCCCTCCTATCCGGATTTGCAGAAATAATCTGAGCACAAACATCTGGACTCCCTCAAGCAGGAAGGGTCCATCGGTGACCTGGAGCCATGTGTGGCTCACAAGCAGCTAGAGTGCAGCTCCCAAGCCACAGCCACATCATATGACTAATTGCAGAAGGGCTCCTGAGTAATGCAGACTTCTAGCCATGGAAGTAAACGGGCCGAGGCTGCTGAGTCACACTGGGACACCTGCCAAACCCAGCTCCGTATCATCCCAGAGTGGAGGACCCCAGGAGAGAACCACGTCTGGAGCTCTCCAGATGCAGGAGGGGGCCTTTGATGTGCACCTTGTGCAGCACAAGCTCAGGCAGGTTTTCCATCCCAGCACTAAGGTGAAGTCCCAGCTTTCATTGCTCCCTGGGAATGCACGGAGATCTCCCCAGCTCATTCTTGATGTGCGGGGCAAAGCGTTTCCAGGAGGGGAACGCCTGGGAACCTGACTTGTTCCCTGCGTGGGAATAAGACTGCCCTGCTTGTTGTAAGGGGTGCAAATTTACCCTGCAAACCTGGACTCATGTTCTCCTCCCCACCCTGCTTCATCCAACGATGTCTCAGTTGTTAGCTTGACTGCATGCCTTCCTTCTCTGGGGGTAACCCACTGCATTCCCTGGAAGCCCTGTTCTCCAGGCTGCAGATCAAACCCACGATGTACAAAGAACATTGAAGACGAGGGAAGTACAAATACAGCTTTGTTACAACATAGCTGCCAGCTCTACTGTCCTACTGCTCTTAGCAGTAACCTGTTATCTGCGTGGTCCACAGACTGGGCTGCCAGACATCTGCAAATCCTGGACAACGAACCCCAGCTTCACACAGATCAGCTCTGTGCACTGCCTCCGGTAAGTCCTGGACAGACAGAGGGACTGCGTGTGGACAGCAAAAGCCTGGCAGGCTTGGGGTGGAGGTCTACGGTTCATGTGCCAGCCCCCTGCTCAGCATGTCTGGTGTATCCCAGACACTCGGGGTTCCCTGCACACACGGCCTGCACGGGTGATGCACTCAGGACGTGCCAGGCACTGCATTCATGTCAGGTCTGCAGTGCACAGGCGGACAGTCCCACCCCGAGGGAAGTTTGCACCTGAGACCTGCTGCTTCAGCATTAGAAATGTTCATGGCTCCTGCGCGCAGCCAGGGTGAATCTTCCAAAGCCCCACTGCGGAGCCCAGCGCTGCTTTTCAGCCTGATCTCTTTTTGTCTGAACTTTGCAGCATCTTTGAGTTGTATCAGTTTTAGTAGTGCATCTGCCTGGAAAAACTACTCAGAAATACCTGAAGACAGACACCTGTAAACACATTTCCTATGGGGGCATCTCCAATTTGCACTTCAGCAGCTGTGTACACAGCTCCTCAGCCCTCCAGGTGTTTTACCCCACAGAGGACGACACGCTGACAAATCCCAGCTCCCATGATTTGTCTGAATGACTGGAGGACTTTCCTGGAGCGGCAGAAAGCGTGGGGCTAGGGAACCTGCTTCTCCCTGCGTGGATGCAGTTCAAGGTTAGTCCCTTCAATTCATATCACAGACAAAAGGCCAAACTCTTGGCAAGCCCTTTGCCTCCCAGCTGTTAAACAATATTTAACCACATAAGTCTGAGACCTGCAGTCGCTCCTAGCAGAGTGCCTGACCCACGCGGGTCTTTGCCACACGCGCGACCCATCTGCACGGTACCAACACCTCGACTTAGGGAGGGAAAAGGAGGCGCAGACCTTACCTCGGGGGACCGCACTGCATTTTGAAAGACGGCGTAGGCAATAATGGAGCTGGAACCTATAACACTGAGAAAACAAAGCACAGATTGGAACAGGAGCACATCTGCCTCGCTGGGATAAGCGATTTCTCTTTTTCCGGAGAAAATCATCATTGCAATAGTAACTCCATCCCAGGGACGAGGGTTTAGCAGCGCGTTGTACCTGAGCATGGCCATGGTAAACTGTATCCACTGGAGAGCCGAGTAGACCTGGGGAGAAGGACGGGTGTGAGCTCAGCACGACACGGCCCCACGCACGGCGG